TTTGACGGCCTCTCTATAAACTAACTTTGACCTTTAAAAGCCTCTTACTATCTCAGTTGCCTTTCTCTTCTTCGTTGGAGTCATTATTTCACCAGACAAACATCCGGGATTCTGATTTAATTCGAGCCCAGGCTTTTTCAGTTGCCCAGAATGTTCCAAAATGGCGGCAAAGCGTTCGGCAAGTCCGACCCATGGACCCCCTTTCTTGAAAAAAAGCCCCCTAAAATTACAGAAGGGGGCCCATTTGACCCTCACTGGCCAATTTCTAGAATAAACCCTGCATAATGTTTGGGTCACAGATCATGGTTAGGTTTCTCAAGATACTTTAGATTCAGGGTGATTGACGGATTGTACAAACACATCAACCACAAAGGACTGCAAAGGACCGCAAACGAATATGCCGAAGAACGGACGAACGGATGTTAGTGCCAAAAAAAAAATCTTAGGCAACCAAAGTAGACAAGAATTTTTAGCACTGCTGCACGAGATCCGTAAGCTACTGTCAAGCGAAGTGACATTACCTCGTTGAATAACCTGCGAATGACAACAAACCATCTTGAAATCCAAGAACAACTTTTTCTAAGCTTAACTACCACTTTAGATTTTGCAGGCGTTTACCAGAGAGTAAAAAATCTGCACTTTATTATCTCTCCACCCATCAAATTAGTGGGCTTGTTCTTCAAATTTCACGAAATTCAGTCGAGTAACATTTGTTCAGTTAGCTTATTCTAAACTTAACTTTGAATTTAACTTAGCTCTATCACTAACTTGTCAGAGACTAAAAAATATGCAGCCATTTGAATTCTCGTAACGGTCGCTCAAAGTTTAAGTCATAGTCGCAACAAGCGCTATGTAGCTAAGTTGCTTTTACAGGAAACATGAAAAAGGTTTACTAACGATAACGATACTGACGATACTAACGAAGACAACAACGCTATTTAGAATTTTCAAGAGCTAAGGCGCTAACCGCTCGTCTTTCGAATTAACAAATTGACGCCAGTTTTTTATGTCTGTCCTCTTATTGATGATAAAATGACGTCACAACATTGTCAAAGTACCGCTCGTGGATTCACAACAACTTTGACAAAGTTGTGCCGTCATTTTATCATCAATAAGAGCTAGGGCAGACATATAAAAAACTGGCGTAAATTTGTTTTTTACAATAACAAAAGCTCGGAAAAGTCAAATTTGCCTTTAAAAATGAAGAAAACGCAAGAAAATTTATGACTTTTTTAAACAAGCGCGATGTTATTGTCAATAACTTTTCTCGGTTGGTGATTGGCTACCGAAGACAAACAACGGGAGTTTCATTGGCTAAAATTTGACAGGTTGAGTCAGGCCACTGCCCCGCATAAATTAGGAATTTATTGTTTTCCAAACTTCTATTCAGAACAAGAATGAAGTCCAGCGATATTTATTGTCTCGAATAATGAAAGCCATTTTAGGGTATTATAAAGTCATAAACTAGCCCAAGGTTAGAAATTATCCCAAGAAAAGATTTTGGAGCCGTTAAAATAATCGAGCAAAGCGAAGCGATGTTCGATGGAGCTGTCTGTGAAGCGACTAGCCAAGCAGTTTTGAAAAGTTGCTGACCCAACAGTACGAACAGATATCGTGTTACTGTTGTTTACTTCAGTTCAAGTCTCTATTTTTCGTCNAAATCAGTTAATCAAAAGTGTAATTATTAAGATACAAAGAAAAGTTAATTTGATAAACAAAATGTTTCATTACCTCCGTAAACCTGGCCTCATCCGCTGCAACAAGAAGAGAAAAACAAAACAGTTGTAAAACATAAAACTAAATCAAAGAGAACCTATAATAATATCTATGAGAAGCCTTAAACTTGAAGTGTTCTCCCTAATTAACATTTAGTATTTCACTATGAAAATGATCAGCAGTACATCCAAGCAGAACATATCAGTCCTCAAATATGTTATGTTTACTTTTATACCTTGTTTTCACCATTTTCTAATCGGCCCATACCTCACTCACTTTACGGTCTCACTTCAAATAAATAACATAGTACGTCGTCACCTCAGCTTAAACTGGCCGACCTTTTAACATATGTAAGGAATGAAAAGGCTAGCAGAACAAAGGACTAAGATAGAGGATGCCGGCCTTCACTGGAAAACATTTACCTTGTAAAATTTAGTTGGACTGTTCAATACATAGTGCTCACCATTTGTCCACCGTTACACTGAAACAAGGCCTACAATTTCGTGCGTGTTATAGCTGAACCGCCTTATAAAAAGGCAAGAATTGAGTAAGTTACCAGCTGCAACAAAACTGCACGTAAAGAAAAGGTTTCTCTCAAGTGAGGTTAGCCTGAATTTCATCCGATTACTTGGAGTCGTTATTACTCCCTCAGTAACGTCTGAATCGACCGGCCGTTAATGCCGTCACTACACCTTGACCTTTGTTTTAATTCATGCAAAAAGTAAAACACGATTTTCACGTGCCAAACCGAGAAATATCGTTTGGAAATGTCTGCATGATACAGAATTGCTTTATTTTTTTCGATCGTAATTCATGTTTAACGTTCAAACTATCAACTGCAGCAGTACAACTCTGAACCGGTTGTACTAAATTCTAGAATCAAACTCGGTTAGTCGGTCTTAATCACGCAATGAAATAAACACACACACGGAACACCTAGTTCAGAAACACAATGATTTGCTTTAATTGAAACGAAGCTATTTGGTCCTTAACGAAGAACAAAAAAAACAAGGAGACAAGAAAGAAAAGCTAACAGAACCATTACACTTGACGCTAAGAATAGCAAGAAGGTCGAATTGTAACATTGATCTCAGAAAACTTCGCGTAAACAAAATCACCGGCCGCCGAAACCACAAAGCGGCTCTAAATGAAAAACCTACCGACTCTCCGCAATGATTCTTCATTCGCAGTTCAATTTATCATTTCAGTTTCCAAGGCAAGGGCAATTTTGCTGTTTAAGATAAAGATTAAGCTTATCGAAATGTTTGAACTAAACGAAAGAAAGCCAGGGATGCGATCCGCTGAATCTCAAGCGACAATCCCGCTAAAATTTTTCATGATTATACATAATTATGCGAATGTTTAGACAATCAACCAATCAAAATCACTACCCGGTTTTCGGGTAGTGAGTGACGTCACTGGACGGCATTAACGGCCGGTCGATTCAGACGTTGTTGAGAGGAGAAAACGACTCGAAGCAATCGGATGAATTTCAGGCTAAAGTGAGGCCCGATTGTTCTAAGTTTTTTTTTTTAATAACGGGCAACTCAGCCATCAGTTTCCTTATCAATTTATTTCTATTTAATGCTGATGTCAACTGGCTGACAGACTCCGCTGGCCTCTATGGTTATTCCAGGCAGCCAGTACTCTAATTTATTTTTAATATTTTCATTATCTTAATTTCTTGTAGAACAAAAGTGAGTACAAATAAGGGTTGTTAATGTTGTTGTTGTATCATGTCAGCCTCACCTTTGACAGGGAACCATCTTTGGAGCTGAGCAAGTTTCGGTTTCACACAGACAAAGCTCTTAGTGCAGTTTTTAAATGGCCCATCTGCGGTAACTTTCAGAAGGCACATACAGTACTCGTTGGGGCAAAGAAACTGGCCATGATAGTCACATTTTTTTTGCTTCTCCTGGCAAAACGGACATTCAACACACAATTCATAAGCCAAGTTTTTAAACCCAGACAGCTCGTGTGACATAGTTTGCATTGTGTGTTCCAGAAATGTTCGCACTTTGATAGCCACGTCTTGCACTTTCGCCCCACCATCACATGACGAATCATCTCGCTGTATTTCATTCAAAATGATCGTGATAAATCGTTTCTTGCATACAAGGATCAACTGGTGATTTTGTTCCTTTCCGATGAAGAATCGAGATGCTCCATCGTACAAGTTAGGCAGTTCAGATCCAGCTGGACAGCACCAAGTGACACATCGTGACACAAGCTGAGAAAAAAAACCATAAGGAACAAAACTTCCGAGAAAACGAAGGTATAATGTACAAGGATCTGAAGGAAAAGGCTCAATTTTACCAAGGGCGTCAGGAGGTGTTCGAAGTTGACAGGGAACAAGGTAAATGTCTTTTCCTGGAGATTTGGTAAACTTGACGATCAGTCCAAACTGTTCCATCATGTCCAAAATATCATCCTTGTGCTGATGAAACTCATCGCAAAACACGTGATTAACAAGCTCCATATCGAGGACACCTGTTTTCTCCATTTGTTTCCACAACTTGGAATGACTTGGTTCCTAAAAAAAAACGAACAGCACCCGGCAAATAAAAAAGCCTGATCTGTATCTACATCTACATCTACAGTCGATTTAAATGTTCTTAAAACATAGCCAGTCTTAACGTCTTATTGATGCTGACAGTTTCGATGACTGTCAGCCATCTTTATCAAAACTTAAAAAACATTAAAAGTGTCACAAGCCTTAAATAGGCTTCTGAAGGTGTTTCAGAAGCCTATTTAAGGCTTGTGACACTTTTAATGTTTTTCAAGTTTTGATAAAGATGGCTGACGGTCATCGAAACTGTCAGCATCAATAAGACGTTAAGACTGGCTATGTTTTAAGAACATTTAAATCGACTGTTTAACTTCACTAGCCTGATGAATTTCTTCAAGAACCTACATCTACAATTCTACAAGTCGGTAAAATCACGAGATATCACACCAACTGAATGAAAAAAGAAACATAATAAATTATGCACTAAGATAATGAAAACTGAATAAAACTAATACAACGGAATATTAAAACCTATTAACTTAGATTTAAAACTATCTACAGACGTGGTATTTACAATATCCACGGGAAGGGAGTTCCATTCATTGATTGTTCGTGTGAAGGGAGAAAATTTTCTCTGTGCCCTAGGAACTACAACTTAAAGCGTGGCTTCCACAGGTTGTTCATTCACTGTTTGGTTTTAGATAGGCTACTACATTTCACACCTATTAAAAACTCCACGAAGCATCCTTATCTATTTTTGGGGTTCTTCGTCAAAAGAATACTTTGCCCGATAAACAATCTCAGACCCCCCAAAAAGGACTGTACTCTACAAGAAAGAATTACTAGTCTAATATACACTGGAAGAAAAGTTTTAAGAAGTTTGTTGAAAGAGGGAGGGCAGCGATGCCTCCGGTGCCAGCACAACAGTCGAGACCACTGCTTTTTAGTTGCGCTTTAACAAGAATGTCTTTTAACAATCCGTTCTTCCCTAGGATATTAGAGGAGATTTCTTGAGGATTTTTTGAGCGAACTAGTTTTTTATAACAGCTTGATGGAGGTTGAGCATAGATGGACTATACTGCGTGCCAAAAGGCAATACTGTTTTTGTATCGTTTTGTTTGCTGTAGAACTGATTTCGTTTCTTACAATGTCTCCCCTTGAGGAATACGTTAGAAGGAGTTTATTCTTTTCTCCTTTGATAAAAAGTTTCTTTTCTACTATAAGGTGGCAAGATGAAAAGTGGGTGTATTGAAAGCTCAGTTAGCTTGAAATGTGTGTGCAGGTCAAGAATCGATTTAATTTCGAATCTCAATCCTACCTTTGCCAAAATTTAAACAAGCGCGATGTTATTGTCAATAACTTTTCTCGGTTGGTGATTGGCTACCGAAGACAAACAACGGGAGTTTCATTGGCTAAAATTTGACAGGTTGAGTCAGGCCACTGCCCCGCATAAATTAGGAATAAATTGTTTTCCAAACTTCTATTCAGAACAAGAATGAAGTCAGCGATATTTATTGTCTCGAATAATGAAAGCCATTTTAGGGTGTTATAAAGTCATAAACTAGCCCAAGGTTAGAAATTATCCCAAGAAAAGATTTTGGAGCCGTTAAAATAATCGAGCAAAGCGAAGCGATGTACGATGGAGCTGTCTGTGAAGCGACTAGCCAAGCAGTTTTGAAAAGTTGCTGACCGAACAGTACGAACAGATATCGTCTTACTGTTGTTTACTTCAGTTCAAGTCTTATTTTTCGTCCTGAACACCATTCAGCTATATGAACTGCGTTCATTCAAACCAAAAAATGGGTTTTATACGCATGTAGTCTTCAATTCAACTTACCAGAAGCTTACAAAGTTTCACAAAGTTTTGTACAAAACGTTTGTTTTCCTTTCGTTAAAAGGAATCTGAAAAACACTCGGTACTTGTCAAAAGAAAACCACTGTAATCAATGTCTTTATTTTGAATAACCTAGACTTTCAGAATTGTTTTCTTTCTATTTTCACCTTTAAAACTAAGTATGAATGTTAAAAGCTTATCTGAATCCTTCGCAGTTTTGAAGCAATACAAGTTCCATCAATTCGTCTTCGCTTTTGGAAACTACGCGTTTTTGTTCAGTTTCCTCTGCTTGAGCTTTTTGTAGAGAATTCAAACGGGATTCAAGTCTTGCATCAGGGTTATCTGGCTATTTTCCTAAGCAGACAGAAAGTGAATCTTTTTCGAAACTAAACTAAAGAAAAACATAGAAGTTTGGCATTCGTTCGGCAAATGACCGCGTCTTGCATAAATTAAAATTTTATGTGTCTGTTCTCTCATTGATGATGAAAATTAGCCAATGAGCGCGCGAGAAGTGATTCAGTTATTGTAAAACGTTCGTTTTCACCGCCTTCCTCATGAAAGAATACTACAGAAAATTTCTTGAGATAATTAGCACCCCGAATTTTGACAATCAAAAATCAGTCAATCAAAAGTGTAATTATTAAGATACAAAGAAAAGTTAATTTGATAAACAAAATGTTTCATTACCTCCGTAAACCTGGCCTCATCCGCTGCAACAAGAAGAGAAAAACAAAACAGTTGTAAAACATAAAAACTAAATCAAAGAGAACCTATAATAATATCTATGAGAAGCCTTAAACTTGAAGTGTTCTCCCTAGTTAACATTTAGTATTTCACTATGAAAATGACCAACAGTACATTCAAGCAGAATATATCAATCCTCAAATATGTTATGGTTACTTTTATACCTTGTTTTCACCATTTTCTAATCGGCCCATATCTCACTCACTTTACGGTCTCACTTCAAATAAATAACATAGTACGTCGTCACCTCAGCTTAAACTGCCCGAGCTTTTAACATATGTAAGGAATGAAAAGGCTAGCAGAACAAAGGACTAAGATAGAGGATGCCGGCCTTCACTGGAAAACATTTGCCTTGTAAAATTTAGTTGGACTGTTCAATACATAGTGCTCACCATTTGTCCACCGTTTCACTGAAACAAGGCCTACAATTTCGTGCGTGTTATAGCTGAACCGCCTTATAAAAAGGCAAGAATTGAGTAAGTTACCAGCTGCAACAAAACTGCACGTAAAGAAAAGGTTTCTCTCAAGTGAGGCTAGCCTGAATTTCATCCGATTACTTGGAGTCGTTATTACTCCCTCAGTAACGTCTGAATAGACCGGCCGTTAATGCCGTCACTACTCCTTGACCTTTGTTTTAATTCATGCAAAAAGTAAAACACGATCTTCACGTACCAAACCGAGAAATATCGTTTGGAAATGTGTGCATGATATAGAATTGCTTTATTTTTTTCGATCGTAATTCATGTTTAACGTTCAAACTATCAACTGCAGCAGTACAACTCTGAACCGGTTGTACTAAATTCTAGAATCAAACTCGGTTTCGCAATGAAATAAACACACACACGGAACACTTAGTTCAAAAACACAATGATTTGCTTTAATTGAAACGAAGCTATTTGGTCCTTAACGAAGAACAAAAAAACAAGGAGACAAGAAAGAAAAGCTAACAGAACCATTACACTTGACGGTAAGAATAGCAAGAAGGTCGAATTATAACATTGATCTCAGAAAACTTCGCGTAAACAAAATCACCGGCCGCCGAAACCACAAAGCGGCTCTAAATGAAAAACCTACCGACTCTCCACAATGATTCTTCATTCGCAGTTCAATTTAGCATTTCAGTTTTCAAGGCGAGGGCAATTTTGCTGTTTAAGATAAAGATTAAGCTTATCGTAATGTTTGAACTAAACGAAAGAATGCCAGGGATGTGATCCGCTGAATATCAAGCGACAATCTCGTTAAAATTTTTCATAGTTATACATAATTTGCGAATGTTTAGACAATCAACCAATCAAAATCACTACCCAGTTTTCGGGTAGTGAGTGACGTCACTGGAAGGCATTAACGGCCGGTCGATTCAGACGTGGTTGAGAGGAGAAAACGACTCAAAGCAATCGGATGAATTTCAGGCTAAAGTGAGGCCCGATTGTTGTAAGTTTTTTTTTTTTTTTTAAATAACGGGCAACTCAGTCATCAGTTTTCTTATCAATTTATTTCTGGCTGACTGGCTCCGCTGGCCTCTATGGTTATTCCAGGCAGCCAGTACTCTAATTTATTTTTAATATTTTCATTATCTTAATTTCTTGTAGAACAAAAGTGAGTGCAAATAAGGGTTGTTAATGATGTTGTTGTATCATGTCAGCCTCACCTTTGACAGGGAACCATCTTTGGAGCTGAGCAAGTTTCGGTTTCACACAGACAAAGCTCTTAGTGCAGTTTTTAAATGACCCATCTGCGGTAACTTTCAGAAGGCACATACAGTACTCGTTGGGGCAAAGAAACTGGCCATGATAGTCACATTTTTTTTGCTTCTCCTGGCAAAACGGACATTCAACACACAATTCATAAGCCAAGTTTTTAAACCCAGACAGCTCGTGTGACATAGTTTGCATTGTGTGTTCCAGAAATGTTCGCACTTTGATAGCCACGTCTTGCACTTTCGCCCCACCATCACATGACGAATCATCTCGCTGTATTTCATTCAAAATGATCTTGATAAATCGTTTCTTGCATACAAGGATCAACTGGTGATTTTGTTCCTTTCCGATGAAGAATCGAGATGCTCCATCGTACAAGTTAGGCAGTTCAGATCCAGCTGGACAGCACCAAGTGACACATCGTGACACAAGCTGAGAAAAAAAACCATAAGGAACAAAACTTCCGAGAAAACGAAGGTATAATGTACAAGGATCTGAAGGAAAAGGCTCAATTTTACCCAGGGCGTCAGGAGGTGTTCGAAGTTGACAGGGAACAAGGTAAATGTCTTTTCCTGGAGATTTGGTAAACTTGACGATCAGTCCAAACTGTTCCATCATGTCCAAAATATCATCCTTGTGCTGATGAAACTCATTGCAAAACACGTGATTAACAAGCTCCATATCGAGGACACCTGTTTTCTCCATTTGTTTCCACAACTTGGAATGACTTGGTTCCTAAAAAAAAACGAACAGCACCCGGCAAATAAAAAAGCCTGATCTGTATCTACATCTACATCTACAGTCGATTTAAATGTTCTTAAAACATAGCCAGTCTTAACGTCTTATTGATGCTGACAGTTTCGATGACTGTCAGCCATCTTTATCAAAACTTGAAAAACATTAAAAGTGTCACAAGCCTTAAATAGGCTTCTGAAGGTGTTTCAGAAGCCTATTTAAGGCTTTTAAGAACATTTAAATCGACTGTTTAACTTCACTAGCCTGATGAATTTCTTCAAGAACCTACATCTACAATTCTACCAGTCGGTAAAATCACGAGATATCACACCAACTGAATGACAAAAGAAACATAATAAATTATGCACTAAGATAATGAAAACTGAATAAACCTAATACACTGGAATATTAAAACCTATTAACTTAGATTTAAAACTATCTACAGACGTGGTATTTACAATATCCACGGGAAGGGAGTTCCATTCATTGATTGTTCGTGTGAAGGGAGAAAATTTTCTCTGTGCCCTAGGAACTACAACTTAAAGCGTGGCTTCCACAGGTTGTTCATTCACTGTTTGGTTTTAGATAGGCTACTACATTTCACACCTATTAAAAACTCCACGAAGCATCCTTATCTATTTTTGGGGTTCTTCGTCAAAAGAATACTTTGCCCGATAAACAATCTCAGACCCCCCAAAAAGGACTGTACTCTACAAGAAAGAATTACTAGTCTAATATACACTGGAAGAAAAGTTTTAAGAAGTTTGTTGAAAGAGGGAGGGCAGCGATGCCTCCGGTGCCAGCACAACAGTCGAGACCACTGCTTTTTAGTTGCGCTTTAACAAGAATGTCTTTTAACAATCCGTTCTTCCCTAGGATATTAGAGGAGATTTCTTGAGGATTTTTTGAGCGAACTAGTTTTTTATAACAGCTTGATGGAGGTTGAGCATAGATGGACTATACTGCGTGCCAAAAGGCAATACTGTTTTTGTATCGTTTTGTTTGCTGTAGAACTGATTTCGTTTCTTACAATGTCTCCCCTTGAGGAATACGTTAGAAGGAGTTTATTCTTTTCTCCTTTGATAAAAAGTTTCTTTTCTACTATAAGGTGGCAAGATGAAAAGTGGGTGTATTGAAAGCTCAGTTAGCTTGAAATGTGTGTGCAGGTCAAGAATCGATTTAATTTCGAATCTCAATCCTACCTTTGCCAAAATTAAAAAAAGGATATTTCTTGTAAATATGTTAGGGTGTGAGAAGGGCAGCTAAAGCCATCTCAGCCCTAATCCTTCCCTGTACCTGAACTCAGACCATAACTATATAGTCACATGAAATCAGACAGGGCCAAACGGTTAGCTAGGGGGTTCTCCTAACAGTATTACAAGCACTTGACATTTTGTTTCTTACCGAGTCATCAAAAGGACAAATGGTTACAAGTTTTTTGAAGATGTCAATCAGCCATTTGGCCCGAAGTACGACTGTGTTGTGGTGCCGGACAATCTTTCCGATGTCATGATAGTAATCCAACAAAGTGACGACGTCATCCTCATTTTCAATGAAGCAAAATTTCCGGATGATGACTTTAAGTTGATCAAGTTTCAAGTAATGTACATTTTCAGCAGCCAAAGCTTGCACAACCTTCTCGAAGTTGAACCACCTGAAAAACAAATATCAAAATTTCATTTGAACCTCTTTTCGCAGTACTTTCAAAGTTGACGCAATTTGGCCGCTGCACTAATAAGTATGAAACCCTAGAGACGTTTTAAATGGGACAGAAATTACTGATTCGTTAGTTTGGAACTTTTAAAGGGTTTATACAAAAACGGACACAAATATTTTTGGTCTCCACCTTCGGTCAACAGGCAACATTAAGCATGATCCACACACAAGCAGCTCAAAAGGGGTTCATCATTCTTAAGAAGGCCGCAGCAGCAGCAAGAAAGTTTCTTTAAACAGGGGTTTAAAACGACAACCAACCAATAATAGCCGCTCCAACACTGTAGACAGTACGCTTGTATCATTCTGCTGCTGTATTTTCCTTATATCAGTGGACACAACCAAGTTTTCATCCCCACCGTTCAGAAGATCTCTCAGTAATCAAAACCCTACTTTTTCGTTAAATTAACCATTAACTTTAATACACTCTTCTTTAAATAAGAACGTCCATTTTTCGAGTTGAGCCTGGACCGTTCTTATTTTCAGAGCAGTTTCAGCCTGGAAATGTTGTTACGGATGTTCTTAAATTTCAATAACGGACATTGTGCTAGTGACACTTTTCTAAAGACAATGATTATATTTTTCACATTAATGAATTGTACAAGTACAGTGCAAATGTGTCATTGACCATACACAATAGGAATGTGATGAAAGAACAAAATTTTACATGCATTCTGATTCCGTGTAGGAAATTATGGAAGTGTTCAGATTTTCTGGATTTAGGAAAGTAAAAGCAGTAAAAAACAAATTGTTCTTCTCTGCGCCTCGGGTATGTTCTTAGCATATTCTTAGTATTTTGGCAAATTTCAGGCTGAACGTTCTTATGAAAAAAGGCTCTTAGAAAAAAAAAGAGTGTAAACCAGGAAGCAAATTAAGTTTACTCTGTATTACGTTTGACTGAAAATAAGCGTACCTTAGGGGTATCTCCTCCCCCATATAAGGTTCTTTCTTCAAAACTTCGATAATTTTTTTCTGAAGTGCAGCGACCCCCTTATCAGATGATCCTTGCGTATTATCAACTGAAAAGAAAGGGCGGATCACGTGACTTTCGTAGTCTTTTTCGGAAATTTCATTCGTTATTTGTAATTCCATCTCTTTGACATCCTGATCCTGTTTTCTGTCCGCATGTGTTCCCACTATGAACACTGGTGGGCGAGTGTAGAGCAGATCTGATTCTGACGGTGTTTTTTCATTCGCTTCTGGCTTTGATGTGCAAACTGAGCTGAGGGTGACCAACCACGACAACAAATTTTCCAAATTTGTTTGGCGATTTGTGTTCTCAAGGGGAATGTTCAAAAATCCTCGTCTGAAACAAGGCATGGCAATTTCATTTAATCCTTTGCTGAGGTTGTAAACCAGTAAGTAAACTGCCCGCCACGAGAAGAAAACTGGGCAAAATGTATAGTAAAGATGTTGCCCGGCAAAGTCCCACAGATCAAGGTCCATGTGGTGTTCAACTGCTGAGGTGTCATTGTCAAGATTTAAACCTTCCAGATATTGAACAAGGAGATTCGTAAATTCTTCTGGAGGTAAGGCAGGGTCGATTTTTAGTTCAGGTATCGCGGCTGCTTCTATTTTCTCTTCTCCTCTATTCCCAGTAGTGCCCTAAATCAGATTTTGAAATAAGGACACTAGTGAAAAGTTGTTTGAGCAAATTAAAACGGTGACAATAACCGAAATGCTCGAATCTGATTGGTTCTCAACATCCACACTTTGTTGCTTGATTTTACTAATGCAAGGCTGTTGTGGCAGTAGAACTGTCCGATTTGACCTTTCGCTGCTTGTACTAGGACAAGCCAAATCGGACGGTTACACAATCAATCAAAGGGTGCCAATGGCTAACTTGTGGATTAATTATTTTAGAAATGAAAGCTGATAATGAATTTGCAATTAGTCTACTGGTATATTTTAAGTCTGTCAAAAAATGAAATTACTTTTTTAAAAATCAAAACAAAACGACCAAGAAAATAGAAAAATAGTTCCCCCGGCGGGAGTCGAACCCAAGACCTATAACTAACGTTAATCATCAATGCTAAATGACACTGCGAAACAGTCGGTTTTTTCCTCAAAATCAGTAAAGAAATCGGTAAAGCGTGGCGTAAGAGTCTTACACGCGCGAAGCGCGCGAGCCTCACACGCCGGTAGGGCGTGTGAGGCGAGAGGAAAAAAACTCTCCGTTTTCAGCCTCGTTCTAGACCGTTTGTTTGACTGCTCGCGCTTTCTTGAATACGCAAAAATACGGGCTGTTTTGCAGTCTAATGCTAAATTAATCATGATATTTTTTGCCGGCTGACGCTGTTTAAAGCTGACAGAGCTTTATATATGAAGAATTGAAAGATATATTCGAGGGAAACGAGTTGGGTTTTGACAGGAAAAGCCGTACTTTAACTGATTTCGTCGAATTTGAAGAACATATGGGTAATGGCCGACAAGTGTCTCACAAAACTGTCGCGAAATCTCTTGCTGACGGCGTTGTACCAGGACCTAACGTTGTAGAGCTTGCAATTCTGGTTGTTTACATGAGGAGAATAAATTACGATTCAGCAACAGTAAACATTTCCGTTTTTATCAAACAAAGAAACATTTCCTTTTAGAAAGGCATTTCCCTAAAAACCATGAGATTGGGAGTCTTGTCGTGAGAAAAAAATAAAAAATCGTGGGACTCACGGCAGAATCGTGAGCTTGGGCCAGCTTGGGAGTCGAAAAACAACTGCTGATCTTTACGTCATTCTAGCCTGGCAAGTCAAAAAGCTTCAAAAGTTCATAAACTTCTGGCTCAACGTTGGCCATAGTGCTAATTAGAAACATTAAAAGTCCACACGAAGACAACTTATCGTCCTGTCAGTGTGAAAGGTACAAAATCATAACATCAAAAGCTCTGGGTACAATGCACGCTCAACACTTCGTTTGGGAACGATCGACCTACGACAGTTGTCGTTTTGATATCGCGTGCTTTCGTGCCAAGCCAACTAATTACGAAAACGTCCACACCTGAGCGACACATTTGCATGTCGCAGTGCCCACAATAACTTGTACCTTACGCTACATGTAATCCACAAGTTAATTAAAAATTATGCAGCAAACATTGCTTGCCAATGAGAATTGACTAATACGTCCGTGCCAATAAATCAAAATACACGACAAAATCGTGACTGAGAATCTTTCTTTGCTTCAAGTTCAGCTAATTAAAAACGAATGAATAGTCCATATCCACCATACCCGCTATCTTTGCACGCCCTTAGGGACTGATGAGATAAAAGTAATGTCACGTGGTTTCTCAGGGCGCAAACAAGTAATAAGACACTCAACAGAAAGTACAGAACTTATAACCTTAAGGACGATAATGGCAAATAGGCCATTTGCACTAAGAGGTCATGTGACATCATTTTTATGAAAATGAAAGTTATAAGATTTTGCCTTCGAAAAACGATTAGTGGGTCATATCCTAAACAAAAAAATAGTGATTTGGTTTTTCAAACCCGCACCATTTTCTTAATCTGGGTAAGTTCGTAACTGGTCACGTCACCAAAATTTGATTTTTAAAATGATGAATTATCTCCTTCTGAACACAAATTTTGCACTTAAACTTCAAGAAAAATGTTGAAAAGATGACGTGGTAACGTTTACAGGACATCTGAACGTAACTATCAAACGTTTAACAATATATACACAAAAAGTAGTTTTGGCCGCCATGTTGGAGGGCAAGACTATGCCCTCCAACATGGCGGCCAATACAAATCAAACTATTTTGTTGAAAAATCAAAGTGCCATAAAATATCTCCCTTAAATGTGTTTCCTCCCAAATTTCGGGTGTAAGTTAATTTTTATGAGCTCGGTCAATTTTTGGCATCAGCAAGATTCCAACTCATTGTTTAAAGGAAGCATTGGCACGTGACCTCTTAGTGCAAATAGCCTATTATGGATAGAAGTGATCATTGTCACTTTTTTGGATGCAGTAGCAATAACAAGACTGAAATGGTTGTCTCATTCAAGGGGAAGAAACAAACTCGACCGCTATTACTCCTATTGACGATTCGCCCCCCAGACAAACAAAACCATGTGACACTGATTTCGTCCCATCAATCCTAACAGGGTGCCTTAAAGATAGCGGGTATCCTAAAGAGAATAAATGTTTGCAAGCCTCTAAACTGAGAAAACCGGAGTGAATGACGCGTGGAAACAATACAGTGAAGAGGACTCCAGGTCAGCCGCCTTCCGTTTCGCACATGCTCCATGGGCTTGTTTTTTTTGTGTCCATTTTGAAATTCTTATATTGTGGAATGGTTTTAATCATGTCAGCTTCTTCGGGAGTTTGGAGACTGTTATATGTTATTATGCTTCGCTATAGCATCACAGAACATATCATGGTTGTTACCAATTATTATCGAACAATCAGCCTTCAGTGATCGATCCCTTCAACCCTTTATCGTTCTACTAAATTACCGTAAAATTCCGAAAATAAACCCCGGGGCTTATATTTTTCAAAGGCCCTTTTTGAGGGGCTTATTTTTGGAGGGGCTTATATTCGGAGGGGCTTATCTACGGAGGGAAATTTGCGTTTCGAAATCGATTGAGCTAGCCATATAGTTGGAAGTAAATTTACCGTTTTTACTTTGTTTTACTTTGTATTTTAGGACAATTTTCCAAGTACAAGCCCCCGGGGGGCTTATATTTGAAGGGGCGATTTAACGGGGGGTTTTGGCGTTACCGGTTTGGGGGGCTTATATTTTGAGGGGCTTATTTTCGGAATTTTACGGTATACTTCAAAGGATCAAAACAACAATATTGTAACATTCGAGAAAAAAAAATCCCTGGGGGCTATATTACACGACAGCACTAACCTGAGATCAGGCCCAATTTTAGCGGTTCTCTTTGGGCCTGATACAAACTCTCTCACGTTTGTGCTCGTTACGGCCAGATTTTGGCCGTAACGCTGATTGGCTGTTACAACAATGCTACAAGATCTGATTGGCTATCGGAAACGCCGGAAGTTGAAAGCGCTTAGTCCTTGCGTTGTTTGGCGTTGTTGTTTGCGGGAATGATCCGCCGTGGGCGGACAGAAGGATCGATTTTGCTGTCTTTTTTATTGTTTTATGGTCTTATGGTAGGAAAATATGCCTTAATATGTGCCATGGAAAGTCAGAAAATTCATGTGGTTGTTCATATCTTCTCAGGATTTGCTTTATTTACGGAACTAATGTGAGTCTATCGCGGAGTTGAATCCCTCTGCAAGTTGTTGACCGCTAACAAGGTGCCTTTTGACTTACCAACAAACGAGTGCAAATCAAAAAACTAGTAGAACATCGTGTCGCCGTCTTTTCGAAAACTTTTTACCTTCTACGCCAACAGAAATAACCTTCGAGTTCTCCTTTAATCTCGCAAGAAGTTAAATGTGATTGCGTTGAATGTTTTATTTTTAGCTAAAAAAATTAAAAGATAAAAGCTATTTTTAAAGTCAGCCTGAGTCAGCCAGTCTGTATTGTTTCTACGCATGAAAAATTTGCATACTAGAAAAACTAGCAACGGAAGTTATTTTGGTTGGCTGATTCAGCAAATGTCAACCAATCAAAAAAGTGGGCGGAAGACGTTTCGTAGAAGGTTTGTATCAGGCTCTGTTTTCGTTTCGCCTTGCCCTCCGGAATGTTATTACAGAGCGAAACGAAAATTGAGCCTGATCTCAGGTTACGACAGCACAAGCTTCCAGCTTCCGCGCTGTTCAAATAAAAGTTTCTTACATTTAACGGTAAAGTTAATTCGAGGGAAGTGGCCACTGACCTGTGTTAGTTGAGATTTATCCTCTGCCAGTTTAACTTGACGTTTTGGATCCATCTGCTTTTCTGGTGACTAAAAGATTGGGTAAAATGAGAAATAACACATTACTTTCTTACATTTTTATAATGACGCTTCTCAGATTGTCTCAGGATTACTTTGAGCAGTAAAGAGACCACTCCAGATGTTGTATCCCAAAAATGATGTTTGTGACCATAAAGGTCTTTTTCCAAAGACAGCTAATTTAAGAAATGTAAACTACGTTTACGAGAGACCTATACCCGTTAGTGAGAATTTGACGCACTCTATTTATGCGACAGAAAAAACAATATAAGACGGACATCAACGTTCACATTTTCCCCTAAAAGTCGTAACGGAGTAACTAGTGAGCCCTCATACAATCATTGAGGCGGAAATAACTGAGCCGGAAAAAATCCGTCAACACCTCTCTTGTTTTTATTATTTTGAGTAGCTTATGGTTATAATTTGAAAAGCTTCACAAAAAGGACTTGGCAGAATGTTTGTCAATTCCAACTATCTCTACATCGGCAGCCACGCCTTATTGATTCGGCCGTTGAAAAAACAAACATTCTTTCTCGTGTTTAAGGTGTTTCGATACAGTTTTTCAGAGGCCATACCGATATTTTTCAATCGCCTTAAAAATGTTTTATTCCTTGTCCGATCACCATAAAATTTTCACCAGTAATTGGTGTTGGATTGAAATTTGTAAAAATGTAGTTTTAAGTAAAATCGATATTACTATGACAACAATAAACAAACAAAATGGAAATTGATAAAAGCCGAATTTTGCGCAATCTAGACCCGCTACTAAAAATCTAACACTAGGATCTTACAGTTTGGTGGTTAGCAAATAACCTCCGCGAGAAGTAAAAAATTCTGTATGTTTGAATTCAAATAAAACGTAAATATATTTCAAATCTCGTATTTTCAATAGCCGAGATAAATTATTTAATAAAAAAGTTCAAAATAACTTAAGTTAATCTTAAGTAGCGTCGGAATGTTGCTAAACATCATATTTCGATACTAGGAAAGTTTGGTGTATTTTCTTTCTTGCGATCTTGAAAAACAACCTGCTTTCTCAACACCTGTCTAAGCGCAACTTTATTTTAAATCTTGACTTTTAGCGCTTTTTTGTATATCTCTGTAACTACTCGAACGAATTTTTTTAAAATCAAATCCCATAATCTTCATAATGTATGTAATAATGTCTGAAACTTTCATTAAGATTGATTCACTCTAACACCTTGAAATTTCAAGACGAACCTAGCCTACGAGCTGGCCAAAAATCTGCGTTACAAATTCACTGTTTTGACGTTATGGCAATGTTTGCTAATTAATGCGCACGGTACATACCTCCATGACCAGTACATTTCAGTGTGACAGAATATTTCGTAAAAAATTAAGCCGCATGTTTTTCTTCTTCGGTTGGTGTTTTCAAAATGCCTGCGGTAAGAAAGTATTTGCAAAGGAAAAGGCAACAGTTTGCCAGAAATATTGCTAGAGAAAGTCGTCATGATAAGTTTGTTGAAGAAAAAAACAGGAAGGTGACATCAGGAGAAACAAAAAGTTATCAAATGCTGGAATACAGAAGAAGGTGCTTACGAGCTCTCAGAGCTAAGCGTTGGAAGAAAGCCGGGCCAAGAAGCTCACAACAACCATCGAGCCAAGAGAGCATGGAACTTCGCTCTGCACGTTCTCAAACTTTACCAGAATTAGACGAAAATTACATCGTTAATCTAAAATTATTAGGTGAAGGATTAAGGCAGTGCCAAAAGTGCCATGCTGGACCATTATCACTCGACGACATATGCAAGACACCCATGCGTATAGGACTTGGTGTGGTTTTGCATGTTAAGTGCAAGGATTGCAAAGAAGAGAACAAGATCAAGCCATACCATTCTCACAGAACGGGGAGAAGAGGCCCTAAAACAGTCACATTGAATTCAAGGGCAGCATTGGCAATGATTCACACTGGTCAGGGGCACAGTCACCTGAAAGCCGATTTATCTATACTTGGGGTTGGCGCAATGACCAGTGCGAAATTCAAAGCAAGGGAGCGTGAAGTTGGATCAGCCATTGAGAGTGTCTGTCAGGAAAGTTGCGCACGTTACAGGGCGAAGGAGAAGGCAGAATCTGACATGGTAGACAGCAATGGGGACGCACTTATATCAGTGGCATATGACGGGGCGTGGCAGAAGCGCGGAAAGGCACGAGATTCGATAACAGGGTTTGGGACAGTGATTGGAGAGTCCACCGGAAAAGTTCTTGACTATGGCGTCAGATCTACACGTTGCCGCAAATGTGAGATTGCTGGTGAATCAAACGCAGTGTCGCATAACTGCAGAAAAAATCACAGCGGCTCTTCAAAGTCTATGGAGCCTGAAATAGCGGTGGCATGCTTCAACAATGCTACAAATCATGGTCTTAAGTATTCTTCTTACACCGGTGACGAAGACGCAACAACGGAAAGTCATGTCAAATGTCGAGTTAATTACGAGACGGCGAAGAAAACGGACAAAAACCATGCAACCAGGACACTGGGAAGTCGGTTGTACAGTGCACAAAAGACTGTTAAGGGTCTCACTTCCGTAATTATTAATTATTTTCTAAAGTTGTTTGCATATTGCATTTCAACTAAACAAGGAGAACCAGAGAAGATAAAGCAAGGGCTAAACTCCTTGGTGTGCCACGCATTTGGCGATCATTGCAAATGTGACGTAAGCTGGTGTGGCGCTCTCAAAGATCCGTCCAACTACAAGTTTAAAGATTTGCCAGGAGGGAAGCCGTTGTCAGATGAAAACCTTCGAGCTGCAATAGAAAGTGCGGTAAAACCATTTCAAACAGACGAATGGTGTGAAAAGCTTGCGAATTGTGGCTCAAGCCAGGCAAATGAATGTATTAATGGAATCGTAGGAACTAAGGCTCCCAAAATAAGACACTACGGAAGTTCAGAGAGCCTAAATTTCCGTGTGGCGTCAGGGGTGTGTCAGTTCAATGAGGGCTATGGATATCTGACCCAGACCACGAAAGCCCTTGGATTAGAAGAGTCAAAGGTAACCTCAGTGTTTGTATCAAGGCAATCGAAAAAACGAAAGAGGGAACAAGAACGTAAAAAGGAACCCGGGGTGAAGAGAAGGAGGAAGGAACTGAAGAAGATGAAAATTAGAAAGAAGGAACGACTAGTAGGAAACGAGGGAAGCACGCATGGAACTGGTATTGGAGTAACTGAAGAGGGAAAGACTGTAACGAAAGGGATTATCGATGGGTTACAGAAAAGTATGTCGCAACAGGAGATAGACGAGATATGCAGTAACCTTGATATTGAATCCTCGTCAAGAGAGTCTAAGACAGTTGAAAAAGACGGCGTATTCTCCTGTTTTTCCGTCGACCTGGAGACGACAAGCTTGAAACGCGACAGTGAAATAATACAAATCGCTTGTGTTTCTGTTGCAGATAATCATTCTTCTTTCAGTACCTACGCTGTTCCCGACAATAACGTATCGGCTCATGCAACAAAAGTGAATAAACTGTCCACTACTTACTCTGGTGGAAAGAAGGTCCTTCTTAAAGGCAACGTCGTAGTTTCTGACATTTCCGAAGAACAAGCCGTTCATAATTTTGTTACATTTTTAGAACAAATAAAGAAGGCATCGAGTGGCTCCACAATGGTGCTCATTGCCCACAACGGGGATGGTTTTGACTTCCCAGTTTTAGTTAATTCATTGGCAAAGCATTCCCTTCTTCAGAGGTTAGAAGATCTGGGAGTTCTTTTCTTAGACAGTTTGAAAGTCCTTGCGAGTTTAAATGAGTTAAAAGGAAAAGGCAAAGAAAGCCGAAGCTCGAGTCTTCCGAGTTTGTATAATAGCCTCTTCGCTAAAGACTTTGATGCGCATGATGCGCTTGGGGATTGTAAGGCCTTGTCAGAGGTTTTGTTAGCTGTGATTCCTGGTGAGAATTTCGTGAAATATGGCAATCTACGTACCGTGGAAGAGGTGAAAAATGACATTTCCAAACGATCTGTTATACGCAGGACAGTAATTTCCCTTCAAGATCTGCCTGTCTCTAAGGGAATAAAAGAAAAGTTGGCGAAGGCAGGAATTGGTCTACAGCAACTCAATGAAGTATTTGCTAAACATGGAACAAGAGGACTTTTGGGTCTTTTGGCAATTCCACCAAATGGATTAAAGGCTCCACGTGTAACAAAGAACAAAAACATCCTCACAAGAATAATCAATTTCTTTGAGAACAGACGTCAATAAGAGCCTTACTAGTAACTGTTTCCTTTTTTTGTTTCGTTTCCTTTGCATGTAGTTTTAGAGGAACGTCAAACAGCGGGTGAAAAATTGAGAAGTCAAAAGCGAAAATGTTATCATTTAATGAGATGCAATAAAATTCACACTGAAATGTACTGGTCATGGAGGTATGTACCGTGCGCATTAATTAGAAAACATTAGCATAACGTCAAAACAGTGAATTTGTAACGCAGATTTTTGGCCGGCTCGTAGGCTAGGTTCGTCTTGAAATTTCAAAATGTTAAAGTGAATCAATCTTAATGAAAGTTTCAGACATTATTACACACATCATGAAGATTATGGGATTTGATTTTAAAAGAATTCGTTCGAGTAGTTTCAGAGATATACAAAAAAGCGCTAAAAGTCAAGATTTAGAATATAGTTGCGCTTAGACAGGTGTTGAGAAAGCAGGTTGGTTTTTTAAGATCGCAAGAATGAAAATACACCAAACTTTCCTAGCATCGAAATATGATATTAAGCAACATTCTGAAGCTACTCAAGATTAACTTAAGTTATTTTAAACTTTTTTATTAAATAATTTATCTCGGCTATTGAAAATACGAGGTTTGAAATATATTTACGTTTTATTTGAATTCAAACATACAGAATTTTTTACTTCTCGCGGAGGTTATTTGCTAATCACCAAACTGTAAGATCCTAGTGTTGGAGTTTTAGTAGCGGGTCTAGATTGCGCAAAATTCGGCTTTTATCAATTTCCATTTTGTTTGTTTATTGTTGTCATAGTAATATCGATTTTACTTAAAACTACATTTTTACAAATTTCAATCCAACGCCAATTACTGGTGAAAATTTTATGGTGATCGGACAAGGAATAAAACACTTTTAAGGCGATTGAAAAATATCGGTATGGCCTCTGAAAAACTGTATCGAAACACCTTAATATGTTAGAAACCTATCATTTCGTTTCTGTTAAGGCTGGTTTTTACCAGTCGGAGCGGAGTCGTAAAAGTGCTTATATGAGTCAGTGAATATAAAAAATCGGAGTCGTAAGCAGAGTTATAAGCGCGACAGAATCGGAGTTGGAAGAATCGGAACGTCTCCATTTTCTCGCGACTCCGCTTATGACCCCGATCTAGTGAAAACCAGATTGTCAGAGTGGGAAGCAGAAGAGGAAGGATAAATCCATCACAATGCACGTTCCCACGCTTTATGACTGGTTCAGTTCTTCCGCTTCTGCTTGCGACTCCGACAACCTAGTTTTCACTTGATCGTAAACGACGGAGTCGTAAGCAGAATCAGAACGCTGTTTTCACTAGATCGTAAAGTTCTACATTTCCGATTATGACCCCAACTCCGACTCCGTCATTAGTAAAAACCAGCCTTTGGTCGATATCTATGGCTTGTTTTTAAGTCTTTATTTGAAGACACTAACCTGACTCACTGTTTTCTCCTGAGCTGGATCCACCTCTATTTCTTCATGTTCGAGTTTTCCAGCTACCATTCTCACAAGTTTGTGCAAAAATTTAGACACACCTTGTTTTTCATCAGTGCGTTTCCAGTTGCTTACTTGATCAACGACGACTTCGAATTTTGACGGGTCCATTTCAATTCCGTCAGTACTCTGCTGCTCCCGATCGAATGGTAGACCTAAGAAAGAGTTTTTCAAACTAGTCTTGCCTGCTCGATCTTGACCTATGAACATGATTCGTGCACGGTATACCTTAACTTTTCCAGTCTCCAAAGCATTTTTGTAGGCCAGCATTGCTTTTCGCCCACGTGCTTTAATCTCACTTGGAACTAGTGGCTTTTGACTCTCTGGATACGCAC